GTATAAATCTGACTCCATTTAAGTATTTGCAGGGATTTGTGGTGTTTCCAATCCATTATTCCTCTGAATCAAAAAACAGTCTAGCCAACTTAATTTTTAAATCTCTTTTTATAAACAGAAGCCCTTAAATATTTCTTTAGTATTAACTTTGTTTAAAAATAAAACATGCAACTGACATTTTTTCTTTTTATTTCAATTTTTGATTGGCACTTCTCCTTTTACACTGACAACAGCCACATGCACTAATGAACTTCTTATTACTTTTCCCACTCAATACATCTAAAAAAGGCTATTACCAACCATTGCTATGACATTCTCCCTCCCCCTACCGCCATCCTTCTGGATAAGGGGCAAAGAACTTGTTTGCTGCCACTATTGGCATGCTATGTATTGCCTCAGGAAGCACCATTAAACATACTACTCCTCTCTCTCATAAGAACAATTCTATCAGTTCCCAAATGAGACTGATCAGCACCAACTTATACAGCATATTGTTCTTCCACATAGCTGTACAGAGTACCACTACAGTATGATACCAGTGGACTGGATCCTGATTGGCATTTACACTCTAATTCCAAAGTGTTATTTTTTTAACAAACGTAGCATTCACAATATTCACTCTTAGATTTTTTTTCCTAGGTTTCACTAAGGCTAATTCCATCTGACATAGAACTGAGTTCTTTAGTACTAAGATTCTCTATTATTTATCGTTGTCATGAATCATTTAAAAACTGTATGTCAGCAATCTAAAAAATTAATGTTGATTTTATAAAAGCAGGCAATTTATTATGTATGCCCCCCGTGATTTATTCTTTCAGGAAGTCTCCTGCAAACCATTTGTAATTGGTGCCAATAACCGTTTCCAAAGGGTTTTTATTTTTGAAAACATTTCTGACTATGTAAAGTCAAACTGGAGTGCTTCTAACATAAACACAAATAATTGTTTCATACCAATATCCTGCCTTTGTCAGCATTCAATACCAGATGCTTCAAAGGAAGAAACCCTGTAAGAGACAATTTCACAATAACCTAACCATAGACAATTTTTCCTAAAATTGTCAGTCAGTGATTGGCTTATGTATGTAAATATGAAGGCTTTATCTCTTAATAAAGCTTGAGAGAGTCCAGAGGAGAGCCACGCGCATGATCAGAGGTCAGGAAAACAGACCTTATGATGACAAGCTGAGAGCTATGGGACTCTTCAGCCTGGAAAAGTGCAGGGTCAGGGGTGATCTGGTGGCTGCCTATAAGTTTATAAGGGGCGCTCACCAGGATCTGGGGGAACGTCTGTTCACCAGAGCACCCCAAGGGATGGCAAGGTCGAACAGTTACAAACTCCTTCATGACCATTACAGGCTGGACATAAGGAAGGACTTCTTTACTGTCCGAGCTCCCAAGGTTTGGAATAGACTGCCACCAGAGGTCGTTCAAGCACCTACTTTGAACGCCTTCAAGAGACATTTGGATGTTTATCTTGATGGGATCCTATGACCCCTGCTCACTTCCTGTCCCTGGGGCAGTGGGCTGGACTCGGAGATCTTCCAAGGTCTCTTCCAGCCCTAATGTCTATGAAATGTATGTCAGGCCTCTTTCACACACACATTCATACCACCCTCCTCTCACTAGGGCCTCTCACATTCCACCCCCTCTCACAGGGTCTCTTTCTCACATCGACAACTCATCCCACCCTGCTCCCTCTTGGAGTGGCTCCCATAGACCATAGGCTTTATCCAGATCATGCCTTGGGTGGCAAAAGTACAGTCTTTTGGGCCTCTCCCACGAACCTCACTTGGGTCGTGGCCAGCCAAGTTCCTTACCTGGGCCAAACTTGCCCTGGCCCTTCCCAGGGCAGCTTTACGTAGACATATACAAACACACTGGGCCCCCGGCTCCACGTACTATGCTCCCAGCCCTCTGTTCCCGCTTTCTGGGACTCCACACTTCTCTCAATTTGCTCTCCAGGGGTTGGCCCATGTGCTGCCCTTCAAGCTGACCCACAGACCTACTTAGCACACTCCCTTGGGCTGCCTTTCAGGCTGACCCTCAGCCCTATTCAACCCTCTTTTGGGCCCTGCTACCACCCTCTCTGGGGTTACACATCTACCCCCTTCTTCAGGGCTCCAGGGTTTCCCTCCCCTGTGGAGACTCAGGTGGCTGCAGCCATGCCTGGCCCCGCCCGAGTCTTATACCCTCTTTGGGCTCAGGTGGCCGTAGCCGTGCCTGGCCCCCTTGTACTGACAGTGTTGTGGAGGCTAGGAGTTAAGGTACCCTGACCTGCCTTTCACCAGGGTGGTAACTGACCTGATATTTCCTGGGGACTCCCGTACCACTAGGAGCCCCACCAGGCCCCCATTCCTGGCAGGGTGCAGTTTTTGGTCGTGCCCAGGACCAAGAGCCTCTTAGCCATCCCCATAAGCTCTTCCCCTTACCTCCTGGATGTTTTGTACAGCCTTTCAGCCAGGCGATTTTTCTGCCTGGCTGCCAGCAACAAACTGCTGTATATAGGCAGCCAATGTTTTAAAATGGCTGCTGCAATCAAGCACCTGCTGGCTGCCTGACTCAGCCCTTAAAGTGGCGGGCACTGCAAGTGCTCTGCCACATTCAACATATACTTTTCTAAGGCTTAATCCTGCAAACACTTATCAATACATGCAACTTTACACATGCTGTTAGTCATATACAGTTCAAAAGAACAACTCAAGAGTAAATTTATTCATGTGGATTTATGTTAACCAGATCAGGGCCTTAGTAAATAATTTACTAAGGTGTTCATCTTTGGCTAAAATTCTTAGCCAGTATGTAAAAACTAGCATACTTTTCAAACTGTTCTAAAAACAACATTATTACATTATTATTGGGGCAAAGCATCCACACCAGAAGACAGGCAGGTTATCCAGGCTGACCTGGACAGGCTCAGCAAGTGGGCGGACAAGAATCTGATGGTGTTCAACACCGATAAATGCAAGGTTCTCCACCTTGGGGAAAAAAACCCGCAGCATCCTTATAGGCTTGGCAGTGCTATGTTGGCTAGCACTATGGAAGAAAGAGACTTGGGGGTCATCATTGACCACAAGATGAACATGAGCCTGCAATGCGATGCAGCGGCTAGTAAAGCGACCAAAACGCTGGCTTGCATCCATAGATGCTTCTCAAGCAAATCCCGGGACGTCATTCTCCCCCTGTACTCGGCCTTAGTGAGGCCGCAGCTGGAGTACTGTGTCCAGTTTTGGGCTCCACAATTCAAAAAGGATGTGGAGAAGCTTGAGAGAGTCCAGAGAAGAGCCACGCGCATGATCAGAGGTCAGGGAAGCAGACCCTACGATGACAGGCTGAGAGCCCTGGGGCTCTTTAGCCTGAAAAAGCGCAGGCTCAGGGGTGATCTGATGGCCACCTACAAGTTTATCAGGGGTTACCACCAGTATCTGGGGGAACGTTTGTTCACCAGAGCGCCCCAAGGCATGACGAGGTCGAATGGTCACAAACTACTTCAAGATCGTTTCAGGCTGGACATAAGGAAGAATTTCTTTACTGTCCGAGCCCCCAAGGTCTGGAACAGCCTGCCACCGGAGGTGGTTCAAGCGCCTTCATTGAACACCTTCAAGATGAAACTGGATGCTTATCTTACTGGGATCCTATGACCCCAGCTGACTTCCTGCCCTTTGGGCGGGGGGCTGGACTCGATGATCTTCCAAGGTCCCTTCCAGCCCTGATGTCTATGAAATCTATGAAATTACCACCACAATAAACCTCATTTAGATACAGATAGTTATTTTCCAATGAATATGCGTTAGTTATTTTATTGGCTGATTATGAAGATGTCAACTATGGGATTTCTGTAGTCTAGAAAAAATATGATAGTTATTCAGAGCCTTTATTCATCCTTAGCAACAGCTTATAATGCACTGCTTAACTGGTTCCTAGCAGCTTAAATTTAAGAATCAGTTTTATTTAGAAATATACCAGGTGAAAATTGAGAAACATATTATATACCTACAGCTATCACTTTATATTAAAAAAATGTTTTTCTCTAAATCCCAGACGTACTTTTTAATGACATCATGTGATCAATATTTAGCTACTACACTGCCATGAAGGGCAAAATTTGTTAAAGCTACAAGAGACTTATTAATTTTTTTTGTTCTGAAGTGTTAGAAAAATATAATTAAATGAGAAAACATATAACTTACACTTCTCCAATCCACTCTATTTATTTCTCTTTGATAAAAGAATATTTTTAAAATACATACATACACACACACACACACACACACACACACACACACCCCCCTATATATATATGTTTTGAAGTTTACTAGTGGCTTAGGAACAGGCTCCTTTTTGTCTCTATCATACCTTGGAAGGTGGACAAAATGAAAATAAATGAAAATGATACTATGCAAGCCAGTGAAAATAAGAACAAAGAGATTTGTGCATGATTTCTACAGATGCAGTCATTCCACCCAGAAAGATGAGTTTTACAAGAATTTTGTTAGAGACCATATCCATAACAAAGGTCTCAAAGGATACAAGAAGTGATCTTATCTATCTTCAATCTACTTGGGAGATAGGTAAGTTGTTCTCTCACATTTAATATGTTTAATAATAACTTTCTACAGGTCTCATTTGAATACTAAACCAACCCAACATTAATAGTATGTTAATGCTTTCAAGCCTTTAGTATACCTAAGCCAAATGAGCATTTTGATAAAGATAAAATGCAACATAAACTGAAAAGTGCCAAGAGCACTTTTACTAAAAAGAAAATAAGAGTTACAAAGAATGTTGATGTTTTCATAACTCTTAACTTTAAAGTTATCTTCTGTACTAGGTAAGTGTATTTATTTATCAGCTGGTAGATGGAGGTATGAAATATTTGGAAGGACCCTTGAAAATGACATATTTTATTTACACTAATAGAAAGGATTAATTCTGGTATGCATAAAATAAATAACAAGTAACGACCTAAACTTTAGAAAAATAAACATTTAAAATGTACTTACAAAATCAAAGTCTCCATCTTGAGGGACTTTCCAGTTATCAGGAAAAACATTTTTGGATATGTGGTAGGGTTCGTGCATGTTCTGGTTACAGTTTTCAGGACTTTTATTCTTGGAATCTTGTTTATCAAAGTAGTCCATGAAGGAAGGTCTTTGTACTTGTGGTGAAGTAGCATTTCCTTAGTTGAAAGGAAAAGAAAAGTTAAAATTGTTTAGAGATTCCATTTTTACTGTGCTAAACTAACCTACACATAAATTTGAAGGATTAATTTTACAGTAGTTTTATAGTAATGAATACAGCCAATATGTGGTATGAAGTTCTATAACTGTCTTCCATGAAAATTCATTGCCCAAGAAAGACATTTCTGTAGTAAACATAAGAAGGAGGAATTGACCAAGATGTTACTAAGTTACGTATATAAATAAAATTGAAAGTTACTTCAGCTGACATTATTTGTTTTTTTAGAAACTCAGTAACACATGTAGGTAAGTATTCACCTGGGGGCTAAAGGCCTTTAACTGTAAGGCCTGGTTTGCAGGCACTACTCTGATACCAATTTTTACCAATGACAAATAATAGCATAAAGTTGCACTTATTTAAACATTGATGTGGTCTGAAACAGTTTTAGAACAATCAATAAAAAACTGCACACCCAAACTGTGAGTAGAGAAGGCTTAGCTAACTTCACTGGCAATAAAAGATGTTCAGCATATCAAAGGATGCAGGTCACAAAAAGAAAATGGCTGGTAGGTGTTGAAGCTGTGCACCATGGAGAGCCTGCAGAATACTTCCATCATCTGTACAGTTCACTGAACCTTGTGATCACAATGGGGACCCACATGTTGTCATCCTTTTCAAAATAAATTCTGTCTGGAATTTGTTTTCATTTTTTGACATCAAAACAGTTTATTCTCTTTATAGGACAGTTAATGTATTAAACATAAAAAACAATACATTGGGTCTAAGTAACTATCTGAATAAAAAAAATTGAATCAAAATACTTTACTAATCAAGTGCATCCACACACATGCTCTCTCTCTCTCTCTCTCTCTCACACAAACATGCATACACGCACACATACAGATTGTAACTACAGAACAAAATTCCTAAACTATACTTTTTATTATAAACATTAAGAATAAATAAATTTAATTTAGGTAGAGCTGCTTTATTTTAGAATAGGGGATAAACTGCACCAGAAGAAAAAGCTGTTTCATTCATAAGGGTAGGAGTTTTCTGCTCTGCTGGAAAAGGTGTTCTCCACTGAAAATCTATATTGTGGTATAATACTGAAGAACTGTAAAATAGATACAACTTGTACTCCTGCACTTTGCTGCAACATTTCAAAGGGCTATTCTTGGTCTTTGCCCTTGTGAATGCCTGTACACAAAAGGGAGTTCTCTCCTACCTTATCGCTTTTACCCACAGGAGCTCACAGAAGGACAAAAAGGAACTTGTTAATAATATTCTTCCTTTATCGTGTGGAGGAAGCCAAGAAGGACTGAAGATTGCAGGTAACCTTGCTAGTATTTTTTGAGTAGCCCACAAAAATCAAATTAGACTCAGACATCCAAAATTATGTGCATGTGAAGAAACACAATCAAATATTATTTGGCATTATAATTTCTATCAATTAATAAAATTGGATTTTTAACCTTCCACTTTTCTTCCCTCGTCCCCTTTTCTTTTCCTCCATCTCATTAGGGTTTGTTTCATTCATTCAAATGTTATCTTTTCAACTGGGCCAAAAGTGGCACATTTCTGCTGGGCACTTCAACCAGTGCTCAGATCCCACATGTGCTAGGAAACATGCCCTGGTGCTGCAATGGCTTCAAAGCCATTTCCTAGCCCACCAGCCTATCTAACGAAGAACTGTGACAGCTTAGTGAGGTGTTTGAGACACAACTACAGAGGTGGCACTGGCAGCTGTTCAGTCTCTCATAACATGGTCATCTACAACCTGCCAGCTACTATTTTGTGGCATAGGTGTGCCATCCTGGACCTGCCAATGACTTTGTCCTCATGGACTTTTGGCAATGGCAGCACTGACTCTGGTGAACTGCCCTCTACTGATCCACTGACTCTGGTGTACCAGTAAGGAAGGTCAGGGCCTAATCGACCTGGCAAGCAGGGTAACTGCTTTCAGTCTACAAGCCCTTCAGCACCTGCTCTTTGCCGTGGAATGCCTCCCCTGACAACAGATGACATTGTTTCCTGCACTGGATGAGGGATCCAAACCTTGACTGAGAACTTTTCTTGCTGGATCTCAATCACCTCAGCTAGAACATCCTGCCACCCTTCTACCACAGTCTCGCACAGGCCTGGTGGGCCCACCTCCAACTGAGACCCCAGAGCACAGGCCTGCAATTTCCAGAGCTGCTGCAGGAGCGCTTGGTCTGTAACTTGGCTTGCAGCAGGGACCACTGAATCGAGCCTCCAGAAACCTCACTGCTTCCTTGGCTCAGTCACACACCATCGAGCTGACCTACCTCTTCAACTCATCTCAGTCATCTGGCCAACTACCTGGGCCTGCACTCTATCTGTTTTGCTTTGCACCTCTTGGCTGAAGTGCAAGCTGCCCTTCCTGTGGATGTGTTTACCACCCTAGAAGACCACTTCTGTACATAACAAGCTGTCCCAAATGCATTAGACAGACCCTCTCTACCAATGTCTGTTTCTCTGGCTATGGACAGCAATAAGAGTGACAAGCCCCAGGACCTGCTGTCCCTCCCATGCCCAATGAAAACAGTGATCAGATCTGCTCTGAGATCCTGTCTGGGAAGGCAATGTCCACATGCATCCTGACATGACTTAGAGGTGATGCTAAGCAACAGCAGAGCAAGCCTGCCTGGCCTGGTGCACTCTGTACAAACTCCCTAACACCAAGACAGCTGGCAGCTTCCCGTGGCAGCTGCTGCATGAGGTCCTAGCCGGTGGTGTCAGTGGTCTGCCCTTTATGCAGGAGGTGATGGAGGAGACTCTCTTCCACACTTTCTGGACTGCCCCTACTAGCAGTCACTCTTTGCTACCCTCAGAAATCTTGGCATGCTGGACTTGTAGTCCAAGACTGTGGACATATTCTGTATCTTGTACCAAGTGGCCAAGAAAAGTGATCTACCTGGCCAATTTCCTGTTGGGCTGGATTAAGATGGCAACTCTGAAAAACTGCAAAAACTGAGGCAGCCACTGATGACACCTTTCAATTCTTTCACTTCCTGGCCTAGAAGTGTCACATTTGAATTTAGGCAGACAAGGTTCCTTGGGTGAATTTGATATTTTTTATTAGACCAACCAGTTGGTCAAATTCACCCAGAAACCTTGTCTGCCTATGTCCTTAGAACAACACGGCTACAACCTACACCCCTGCAACATTTGAATTTAGACACTTCACCTTGCAACAAAATGTGGACCAGTTGGTATCATATTAGACCATCAAGGGGGCACTCTGCAAAGTGCAAGATGGACAGCTGGTGCTACCTGTGTAACCCCATGAGGGGTACGAGGGAAAGGGTTTCAATCTCCAATGACATGGTGTTTTTTGCACCGGTGTTATTATCGTTTCATGCTTGGCACCTGGGAGGGTCACGCACCTTTGCATTTTCACCATCTTTTTAATATTTGTATAATAAAAGTTTAAAAGTCCAAAAACATTTTTACTGCCATGTTACTCAGTTTCTGTTAGTACCCACTCTCCCAAGACCCAATCCAAGTTCAAATGAATTCATTATGATTTGGATCGGGTTCCTGGCCCTCTGCCATCAAAGCTGGGGAGGAGAGAGAGAAGACAAGCACCCAAGAACACATCGAGAGGATGCATGATCCAGGAGGGGAGAGAAAATGCAGTGGTGCCTGATGGCAAAAGGCTGAGGTACACGGGGGAAAAAATATTTAAATAAATAAATATTTTTAAAATCCTTATAATATTCTCATTGGTTTATACTGTGTAATTTCTGTTTTAAAAAACTATGGCAGTCTGCACCAAACAGGTCAATCACAGTCCATTTTTCTTCTTCCTGCTGTGCTTAATATATTTGTTTTATGCTTAAGAGCTAACAATGAATAGGAAAAAATAATAGCTTATATAATAGCAGACTATATTACACAATAATGGTCAATTTCTAGTAAGATATTATCCTTCCTTCAAACTCATAACAAAAATACCCTACATTTTTTGTGTTTCTCTTTAAGATTACAGAACTATTTAGAAAATTCTATTAAATATGTTATGAGGCTTAAGATATTTGTAACTCTGAAAAAAATAAAGAGCAGTTTCCTTGCCACTGAATACAAATAAAGGAAAATGGATCAGCAGGCTTCGCTTTGGAACTCTTCCAAGATAAACATACCACATTTGATTTTCACTTTGAGGGGGTTGCTTATTTATTTAGGTAAAGACGAGACCTTAGCCCTTTTCTCTCCAACTAAACAAACTCCAGTAGTCGGGGCTGTTCTACTGGTGGAGGAGTTGTTGAGGAGGTTGTGGAGGAGTTAAGTTGCAGCCCCTGGAGGGACTCTTCCTC